ACGGCCCATGGATGTGGCTTCTCAGCTGACTTTAAAGGCCCCAGTGCATGCCCGGGCCCTCCGCCCGCTCCGCCCGCTCCGCCCTCCGCCCTTCCAGCTCCGCCTACTCACTCTCCTTTGGCCCATGCACCCACTCTCCATCCCCTTGACCTACCCCTCATGGACCCAGCTCCCTGCCCCTTACCCCTCACGCACCCTGCCCCGCCGCCCATGCTTGAAGGTTCATGGAGGGGTTATCCCAATTGTAAGTAGGGTTATAAGCCCATTTATAATTGGTTAATAAGTACCATGAACCTTCAAGTGCTTCATCCCTTGAGCTGCTCCACCCCCACCCGCAAGCACCCTGCCCCGCCGCCCGTGCTTGTCATGGGCCCCTTGCTCCTGGCGTCATGGCTCCACCCCCACCCCCAACCCCCACCCCCACACACCCCACCCTTTCCACACTTCCAACCCCCACCCCCACCCCCCACGCACCCCGCCCCCCCACTGGACCCATGGCTCCTCATTCACTCCTGGTTCCATTCTTCACCTCGACCTGCATGGCTGCCAACGCTGGTCCTATATATGGCCCTGCTCCACCCCAACCCCCAACCCCCACCCCCCTGCCACCCCCAACCCCCAACCCCCACCCCCACCCACCCACACTTCCAACCCCCACCCCCACCCCCCACGCACCCCGCCCCCCACTGAACCCATGGCTCCTGGCCGCATTGGCTCATGGTCCACGGCCCATGGATGTGGCTTCTCAGCTGACTTTAAAGGGCCCCAGTGCAGCCCTCCGCCCGCTCCGCCCTCCGCCCTTCCAGCTCCGCCTACTTCCCTCTGGCCCATGCTCCCACTCTCCATCCCCTTGACCTACCCCTCATGGACCCAGCTCCCTACCCCTTACCCCTCACGCACCCATGCCCCTCATGGACCCATGGCTCCTGGCCCCCCATTCATTATGGTCCACGGCCCAAGCAGGTGGCTTCTCCGCCCCTACCCCCACCACCTCTACCCTTCCCGCTCCGCATACTCCCTCCCTTGCCCAAGCCCCCCACGCACCCCGCCATGCTTCTCATGGACCCATGGCTCCTGGTCCCATTCTTCATCCCTCGACCTGCATGGCTGCCAATGCTGGTCCGAAAAATGGCCCCTCACCCCCAACCCCCCCCACCCCTGCCCCACCACCCACGCTTGTCATGGCCCACCCCCAACCCCCACCCCCACCCCCACCGCCCCCACCCCCACCGCCCCCACCCCCACCGCCCTTCACTGGACCCATGGCTCCTGGCCCCATTGGCTCATGGTCCACGGCCCATGGATGTGGCTTCTCAGCTGACTTTAAAGGGCCCATGCCCGCCCCCTCCGCCCGCTGCCCGCTCCGCCCTCCACCCTTCCAGCTCCGCCTACTCCCCCCTTGGCCCATGCTCCCACTCTCCATCCCCCGCTTGCTCTACCCCCACCACCCACGCACCCCGCGCCCCCCGCCCCCACGCACCTCCATGGACGCTGGTCCGAAAAATGGCCCCTGCTCCACCCCCCACCCCCAACCCCCACCCCCACCCCGCACGCACCCTGCCACCCCCAACTTCCAACCCCCCACCCCCACGCACCCACACTTCCAACCCCCACCCCCACCGCCACACACCCCGCCCCCCACTGGACCCATGGCTCCTGGCCCCATTGGCTCATGGTCCACGGCCTATGGATGTGGCTTCTCAGCTGACTTTAAGGGCCCCAGTGCATGCCCGGGCCCTCCGCCCGCAGTACATGCTCCAGGCCCTCCGCCCGCTCCGCCCGCTCCCCTCCGCCCTTCCAGCTCCGCCTACTCCCCTCTGGCCCATGCTCCCACTCTCCATCCCCTTGACCTACCCCTCATGCACCCAGCTCCCTACCCCTTACCCCTCACGCACCCTGCCCCGCCGCCCATGCCCCTCATGGCTCCTGGCCCCATGACTCCCCATTGGTTATGGTCCACCCAAGCAAGTGGCTTCTCCGCCCCTACCCCCACCACCCACGCACCCGCTGGTCCCATTCTTCATCCCTTGAGCTGTGTGGCTGCCAATGCTGGTCCTTTTTCTGGCCCCTGCTACCCCCACCCCCAACCCCCACCCGCGGATTATGTATATATATATATATATATAGATATATATGCGCAGGGCTTGGTCAGGTTGTAGAGTTCAGGGGGGCGAAACATGGAGCCCTGATGCGCAGGGAGTTGGGGCTAAATGCGGTGGGGGTGGGGGTTGGGGGTGGTGGTGGAGCAGGGGCCATATATAGGACCAGCGTTGGCAGCTATGCAGCAGGGATGAAGAAGGGGACCAGGAGCCAAGGGTCCATGAGAAGCATGGCGGGGTGCGTGGGGGGCTTGGGATGCGGAGCGGGAAGGGCGGATGGGCGGGGGGCGGGTGCGTGGGTGGGGGTAGGGGCGGAGAAGCTACCTGTTTGGGTCGTGGAGGGAGCCAATGAGGCCAGGAGCCATAGGTCCATAAGGGGCATGGGCGGCTGGTTCCATGAGGGGTAGGTCAAGGGGATGGAGAGTGGGAGCATGGGCCAGAGGGGAGTAGGCGGAGTCGGAAGGGCGGAGGGCGGAGCGGGCGGAGCGCGGAGGGCCCGGGCATGCACTGGGGCCCTTT